TTCTCTGGCAAACCCTGAAACCCTACAGGTACATCATCAAGACCATGTCTGCCCGCGACATCCGTGCCCTGACGCCTGCCATCCACAAGCGCCCGGGCCTGTAAATGTTATTAAAATCAATAAGATCAAGAATTCCATGTTTTAAACATTAGTTTAGTAGTAGGAATCATATCAATCATATAATATCAATTATTTCAGTAAGTTTACCAATATTAAATAGAAAATATAACCGTAGCAATATGAACAATATAACCTCAAAAAAGCAAATTGTAATAACATTTTGAGAATATTAATAGCATTCGCAATATGCACCTATCATTAATACTAATCATAATATTATTCGTAAGAATAACAAGAATACTAGTCATAAGAATATAAATAACATTAATCATACCAAGAACATGAATAATATTCATCATATGAACGGTCTTAATATTATTCACACCATGAATATTTGCCTAGTTGTTCACCGCTGCCCACCTGGTGTGCAGGGTCTCTCAGTTCCTCTGGTAGGGCTCGACAGAGCGTTGCTTGGGAGTCGTAGCCTTTGTGGTCCTTTAAGGCTTCTTCAGGGTCGTGTCCTCAGTTGGGTATACAAAAGATCGTTCAGCTCCAAATGACTGGGAACTCCGAACCCCAACAACCCTAAAGGGTTACAAACAAATCTGCGACCCAAAGCCCGGACTATGCGGTGACTTGAAGGTACACCATGCACATCCTCAACCATGCCAGCACCTCCCTCATGATGCGTTTCTATGCCTTGATGGAGGACCTCCCGGCTGCAGCTGTCCAACACGTTCAACACTGTCACGTGTTCCTGGGTTTACGGTCTGTATTACGCACGCATTTACACATACATGCTTCATATCCATGTAAAGATAAGAAAGTTGATGCGCAAATTTCTTTTTGCACGAGATGATCCCGACCGCAGCTAGTGCCCGACACCAAAGCGGGCTTTGGCCCTGTGAAAGTAGATTTTTGCCTTCTCCTTTGATGAATGCATGAAAGTCTGTTTAGGCATGTTTCGTGAAGTCTTAGTGAGCGGCCTTGTTAGAGCGGATGAAGAAGTGTCGTCAGTCAAGTGTCTCTGGCTTGGGTCGCTTGGTGCAGAGATGCTCTTTCTTCTGGATTCAGGCTTTGCGAGTTGTGCAGTCTTTCAAGGTTGTGTAGATACTAGTTACCGGGTTGTTGCTTTGAGTTTCTGCTGGACAGAGACTACGTGTGTGCCAGTGTTGCCGCGTAGCGCGTGCCCAGGTCAGCTAGGCAGGTGGCCAATGAAAGCTCCTGAAATGTGAGGATTCCTCGGGCCAGTTCTGGATCATATCCAACAATTGGCTTCCCGTCGCACCCTCAGCGGCTACTCCCTCCTTTGGGTCTTGGTTTCAAGCCTTCGATTTTCAACAAGAACACCTCGAGGCTTCAAACCCCACATGACACTTTGCGCAGCAATGCTTTGATGTCGGCTTCAGGTAAACTTCCCGATCGTCTGGGACCTGAAGGGCTCCACTGCCGGTCGCAGTAACGGTCTCCATGACCATGGCCAGAAGGCGCCAACGAAAGCTCCCTTGACTTTAGTCCACTCCCCTATGAGTATGGAAGCTCCCTTTCTTCCTTCCCCCCTCCCAAAGTGTCATACATCAGATCATGCTTTGGCTTTGTGGGTGTTGCGGGTTCAGCCCGGATGCAAGAAGGTTTCTCTAAGCCGCGCAGCTCGCAACTCTGGGACGCCCTAGGCTCAGAAGGAAACCCCAGACACAAGTATGGGCAGGAGTATTCCCATACTGGATGTATCATGTTATCATACTAGTAGCTTGGAGTGCTTCACCCAAAGTTGGGAAAACACATTGGGGCCTTATTTTGGGTAAGGCAGCTGTAAAGATGGGGGGTGAGGGCATAGGATCTGAGAGCCGAAGCCACTACAGTTCACTAAAGCCCGCAAGCCCCAATTAAATCCCAGAAGTCCTTCAGCCTTCAAGCTTGTAGACCTCAAGCCCTACAGCCTTAAAGTAATCGTCGTGCCGGCATGGATGCTTTGGCCAAGGGATGCACTGGTAACGCGGACGTAATCTTCATGCGGGCATGGGTGCGATGGTCGTTCGCGCGATGCACTGGTCAAAATGTATGTGTGAGATCCAAGCGACACGCAGGTTTTTCGAGGAACACGCCCCAGCGTCCAAGAGCGATTTTGCGACATATTGAAAAACCACGTTAAAACAAAGCCAAAAAGACGGTTTGTGACTTCAACCAATTGTATCGCCGGCCACGTGCCCGAACAGAACGCAAAATCGCCGACAATCCCCTTCCCCCTCCCCGGCCCCCCCCGGCCCAAGCCCTCGAATGGTGGAGTTCGCCCGCCTGCCAGTGCCTGAGGCCTTTGAAGAAAAGAGAGCACGCGATGCGGTGTGCGGTTGACCAACAACAGCACCTGCTTTGGCAACTACAACCGCAACAGCATCGGCAACGGCAACGGCAACAGCAACAGCAACAACAACCACGACAGCCACAACAATCACAATAATCGCAACCACGACGACGACGGCGGCGGCGGCGACGACGACGACCACATAGAAGAAACGTGAGTAAAGCAAAGGAAAGCCCTAAACCAGGACAACGACTGGACAAAGGCTGGGAAGGAGATCGCACTTGCGCCAGCCCAGCGGACACAGGTTTTAGGGGCCTTGGAATCCGAAGCCCGGCTGAGGTTGAATTTCAGGTATTTAGGGTCGAGGTTGGAAGGCCTAGGCTGGCCAAGGCGTGCGAGGGATGCTAGAAGCAGTTCAGGGTTAGGTGGAATGCTTGCATGTGATGGTACGTGAAGTTCCGGGAAGCTATTCCAGCCAAAGTGCCAAAACGGGAAGAACTCGCGGGCCCAGCAGAAGAAGACAAGGAAGAAGAGAGAGAAAGAGAGAAAGAGAGAGAGAGAGAGAGAGAGGGCCGGGGGTCCTTCGGGGCTCTCTTCACTGGGTAGAAGAAGAAGAAGAAGCAGAGAGAGGGGCGGCCCTCCTCAATAGAGGGGGGTTATGTGCGCAGAAAGAAAGAGAGAGAGAGAGAGAGAGAGAGAGAGAGAGAGAAAGCAAGGAAGGAAGAGAGAGGGGAAGCCAGGGGCTACGCGCGCAGGAAGGAGAGAAGGAAGGAAAAGAGAGGGAGGGGCAGGTAACCTTATACTAGGGTGAGTAGGGAACACAGGCATAGCGCCAGGGCGGGGGGGAGGAGGCTTACCTTCCAGCTTGTCCCACTCAGCTCGGCTCTTTTTCCGAGAGGCCCTGACAACAGGGGCGGGCCAAGATGCCCCGGGGGTTCGCCCCCATGCCCCAAGAAAGAAAGAAGGAAAGACAGACAGACAGACAGACCGACAGACAGACAGAAACAACGAAAGAATGAAAAGAGAGGCCCTAAAGTGTGGAGAGAGAGGGGGGGAGGCAGAGGGAGGGAGACGGAGGGAGAGGGAGGGAGAAGGGAGGGAGAAGAGAGGGAGAAGAGAGGGAGAAGAGAGGGAGAAGAGAGGGAGAAGAGAGAGGGAGCAGAGAGAGGGAGAAGAGAGAGGGAGAAGTGAAGGAGAGCAGAGGGAGAGAGAGGAAGAAGGTCGGTAAGCATACTGGGGTTTATCTCATTAGGGGGGGGAACAACACAGTCCTCTCCGTGTCTTGAAGGGAGTTTCCACTTGAGACTGGACTTTCATGCGCACTTGCGCGCGGGGGGCCTCCGGGCCTCTAAGCCCAGCAGAAGAAGAAGAAGAAGAAGAAGAAGAAGAAGAAGAAGAAGAAGAAGAAGAAGAAGAAGAAGAAGAAGAAGAAGAAGAAGAAGAAGAAGAAGAAGAAGAAGAGGGAGAAGGTGTAGGAAGAGTGATTAGGGGGAGGGAGAGCCTCAGCGCTCGATATGCTTTCCAGGCTTGTTGCCCTATTCGAGGGGACTTAGACTAAGGATAGCAAGATGCTCAGCGACGTGAACTTGATTGACTACTCGCTGATCACTGGCCTCCTTGTTTACGCGCTGTCTCCGTGCAATGGACAGGGCCAGCCGTCGTTCGGAGCTTAGCTGCGTCTAGGAATGCCTGGGACTATGCTGTGTGCTGCCAAGAAGAAGTATGCGCTAAGGCATGTGTCAGAAAAGCGGGGTGTGTTAAGCTTGGTCACGAAACGCACAGGCGTGGAGACAGAAACGGGCGCGCGTGAACCCACATGAACCCAACTTCACCAAGAGCCTTGCATCACAGAGCTCCCCGATGCGTGCTGTGCATCACTTCGCAAGGCCCTTGAGGTTGCTCATGATGTTCCTCATGATGTGCTTTTTTAGTTCAGGAAGCCATGTTAGCATCATGAATCCCTAGAGGATCCATGTGCTGCGACCTTCGGAAGGGAAGCATTCTCAGGTGCGTTGCGCCAGTGTGCCACCCAACTGCCGGGTGTGGCGAGACTGCCTACAAGCTGGGTGACTACTTCAACCTCATCCCACAGGTCTTTTGTCATGGCGAGCATCCGAAACCACCACAGCTGGAGCTGGGCACAAAATGTGACATGCCTGCATCCTCCGCAGCGGGCACGGGTGGCATAAGAGGGAGGGAGCTGAGGCACCGCCGCGCTGACGACAGCCTTGACCGTTCACGTCGCTTGCTTTGGCATGATTGACCTGCTCAAGCCAGCCCGTCTCGCTTGCACCTCGATGGGGTGTCCTACACAGGGGTTGTCCTGGGGCATGTTGCATCGAGTGCAGTTGCACCACGTGCTGCCATCAGAGCCTATGAGCTACTTATTGAGCTACTTATTGGTGTTTCAGTGAGTCCGCCAGGCCTTACGATGCCAAGTCGAAGGCCGAGTATGTCGTGACGCTTGGCGCCTTTGGTCGGGGAGTCTCTGTCCAGCCCGCAGAGGGCTACGCTGAGCGCTTCTTCCACTTCATGCATAGCGCGGCCCGGGGAGGGGGGGGAATGCTGTGTGCTGGGTGCATTGTGAGTATGAGGGGTTGGCACTTGGCACCCTAAACCAGAAGAAGATCAATGTACCATGATGTAGAGCCCTGAACCAGGCTCTGACATAATTTGCAACAACTCTCCCCAACTTGGCCCGTTTGAAGTTAAGGCCTCGCGTCCTTGGCAGGCCTTTCCCAAGAAGGCCTCCGAGGGCACGGTCGAGCTCGCCTTCGATTCCAAGATGTGCAAAACATGGGGAAGCAGCTCGGAGCCCCCTGTGGTTAGGGTTTCGGGAGTTTAGGGAGGGAGTTCAGGGAGTTCAGGGAGTTTAGGGAGTTTAGGGAGTTTAGGGAGTTTAGGGAGTTTAGGGAGTTTAGGGAGTTTAGGGAGTTTAGGGAGTTTAGGGTCTAGGGGTGAAGAAGCTACGAAGGCTCTCTTTGAACCGCCTTTGAACCTCTTGAGGCAGGGGGGAGGAGGATGGGGGCTTCCCTGTCGTCACGACAGTTGTGCTGATCGTCCTGGTCGCGGGTGGCGTGAGCTTGGCGGCGTGGTACTACATGCCCCTTGGATGTTCTTGAGTGCATGTTTCTGGAGTTTTTTTTTTGGCGGGGCGGGGGACGTCCCCACCCGAAAGCGAGGGCGCGAGGGCATGAATCCCTGTGAAGGAGCCAGTCGCCTCCCTCACCTCCTGCCTCTGGAAGTGCTCCCGTCGGCGACCCAAGCCAGTCTGCCTATCCACAGGGCCACGGAGTCGAAGGAGCAAGTTCTTGTTTGATGTTGTTTGAAGGTTTGTGGGCTTTCGAGGCAGGGGTTGTCGGGTATCTGAAAACGGAACCACGAGAGCGTGATGGCAGGTAGGTCCCAAGCGCAGCCAAGGCTACGCGGGCGACCCGCAAGGCGCGCATCCGGAAGGATACCCGCAACACTACCAGCAAGGCGACCAGCAAGGCTACGGCGGCTACGCCGGCGGTTACGGATCTCCGAACGCCTGGGCGCCCGCAAGCTACCCTCCGCCTGCCTACCCTGCGTAGCCAAGCGCTTCTCAATTTCAGCCTGATGCCAGCGCAAAAAAAGACAAGAGGGCACGACGATGTGAGGGTGACTTTGCGGCTTTCCCAAGCGCAGCCGATCTAGTCTTGCTTTGAGCTTGTCCTTTGCTGTGGGTGCTGCAGCTTCGCAGAAGGCCCCTCAAACGTGGGGCAGCTTATCCCAATGTGGCCAATGTGCTGGATGGCCACTCGTAGAACGTTGACAGCGTTTGATAACTTGTGCCAGGTTCATGCATGTGCATTGCGCAAAGGACCTATGCTGCAGCAGCTAGCAGGTGGTTGAAGCCAAATCAGATCCCCAGCCGTTTCTGTGCGACTTCCCTTGTGCCAGCTCCATGGTGAGTGGACTGCCATGACGGCCAGGGAAGTGCTTTACGTCAGGCGGGCGGCTTGTTTTGTGAACATGGGCTTCAGAAATTCAGCATGCCTCAGCATCTCGGTGCTTCGGGCGTCTAAATCCGGCTCCCATTTTGCCCAGGATGTCACAGCTGCGAGTAAATAAGCCCCATCACTGTTTGACAACCCTCCCCCCCTCTCTCCGGCTTGTAGCGCGCTGAAGGTTTTCAACTCGATAGCTGTGACCCAATGCAAGATGAAGGCGGCGAACTTGCCTCCCAGGTCCCAAAGCCAAGCCGTCTCCTAGACTCCAACATGGCCTGCAAAGACTGCCTGTATCCATGTATCGAACGCACCAACCTCTCAACAAGTCAGTGCGTCAGTGCCAATGCTACGAAGTTTGCGGAGCTTTTGAGCTCAGAGTGGCACCAAAGATTCCAAAAACCTACAACCAAAGCCTTAAAGCTTAAGGGCGCCAGGCTCGCAGATCCCGCCATCACCAACCTGCCGCGGAAGCCGAGCACGCTGATATCTCCCAGCCAATGCTGCCGGCCGAACCTTCCCGCATTAAGCTAAGCCCAAATGGGCTTTGGGTTTGACGTTTGGGTTGTTGGTTTGTGAAGAGAGGGCTTTGAGTTCTTCACTTCAGAGTTGCAAGCTGCTGCAGAAGCCAGGTCAGTCCACAAGGCCCCCACATAATCTTCATGTCACTAAAGAGCCACATCGTCTGCAGGAGGGAGAACGGCATCATGCTGCAGATCTCCGAGACGCGCCCAACAGCGCTTTGGATTTTTCGATTGTTGTGTGCTCCGGCGGCTCCGGGCTTTCGTTTGCCAAATGTCGCCATCCCTTAAATCCCTTAGGGCGGTGGGGCGTTGCTCGGAGAGCTTTGCCTATCGGGCGCTGACGGATTCCCGAGTCTGCGAGAGAGAGAGAGAGAGAGAGAGAGAGAGGGTTGGTTTAGGGTTGAGAATCCACTCGCAAAAGGGAGCACCCAAGCAACCAGAACGTTTGTTTTTCGAAGGCTGCGGTCCTACATCCAGCACTGTGGCAGATCAAAGGCGGATACGATTGATACGACACACTGAGCAGCTGCACCGAAGACCCTCCAACCTCCGGTCCCCCACATGTTCTGCCTTCAACGCCGGTTCAACACAAAGGGTACTCAGCCACAACCCAACTCAGACCGTCATAAGTCGGTTTGAGAACAGTCTCAGACAGTCATAAGTTGATACCAAGTCGCACCCCCTGCAGGCCCCGAATCCCCTGAAGGCTCCGTAGAGGTGAACCTTCGAGATTCGCGAATCCCCGAAGTTTCTGAACACTGTGTGCAGGCGGCATACAGGACCTCACGACGGGAGAGGTGTCCTTCAAGGCTTGCGGTGGATTCTCTCGGTTTGGGAGTGGGGTATGGCGGATTGAGGCCTTAGAATCGCTGACTCTGGGTGGCTTCTTTGGTCGTTTGGTTTGTTAGGGGTTGAAGGCAGCCATGCGTTTAGGGCCTTGGGCTTCTGAGTTCTAGGATCTTGGGAGGTTTTCGGGTTGGGATTTCGGATTCATTGCTTTGGTGCCGGTTTTGCTTTCCGGTCCTCCCCCCCGAAACATGCATCCATGAGCATTCAAGCCCAAGAGGAGTTCCACCTAGGTCCTAGGGAGTCGTACGTGCGAGCGCTGGCGCCCGAAAGCCCCAGGAAGAGCAGCGTGCGGCTATGGTGGTGACAGACCTGTCAGCCTCGCGCATCAGGCCAAATCTTTCTTTTGGGTTTTGGGGGTAAAAGGGTTGAGGGGCTCAAGAGAGCTTGGAAGCGGAAGCCTGTAGGCTTAGGGTTGGCTCACCAGGTCCCAATGGGTTTTAGTTGGATGTCGGGGCTCTTGGGTGAAAAGCGAAATGTTAACTGATATTTGGCTGTAGGATGGAGGGTGTGTTGCTTCGCAGCTCGGCCTTTTTTTTTGGTTGCCAGGTGCAGAAATGTTTCCACCAGTCAGACCATGTGCCACCAAAACCTTCTGCGAGAACAGCCGCCACGAGCAGCAGGAATCAGAGAACCAAGGGGCAGAACTTAGGGCTTCAAGCTTCCCCGTGCCCTTGCTCGAAGAAAAGTGTCAACAGTTGTCGGGGGGTCCTTCTCCCGGCATGATACTTCCTCTTGCTCCAGGCTTCTGTTGCTTTCCCACAGGCAGAGGATAGAAGCGACTCGGGACATTGTTGGGGCAGTGCTCGATGCCTTAGATGTCATCGTCCACTGTACCCTGTAGGCCTACTCCTGGGGACATCTCCGGTTCTTCAACACCGCTTGAATCCCAGGGTCGAAGCCAGGCAGCTCTGTACTTCCTCGGCTCGCCATTTCTGGCACTTAAACCCGATTCCTCCCACCCATGTTGGCCAAGTGCTCTCATCTCTCCCTCAGATTCGATGTTTTCGACACCGCGGATGCTTTGGCGTCTGCCGTCCCATGGGCTTCTGCTGACATAGCGCCCGCGGACTTGGCGCGGAAGGCAGGGTTGCCGGTGCGACCTTTAGGAAGTTGAGGAAAGCCCCCGCATCGAGGAAGGCATCTTGGGGGATTCTTCTGGGGCAATCGTTAGGAACCGGTATGTTGATGAACTACCATATTGGCCCAAGCGGCTGACACGGTGTTAGCCTTGGGCCGCCTGCCACTTTTTGGTGTTCGGAGCCTTCAAGGCCCCCGAGCTCGGAAGCCCTTAAGCCCCAAACCTGCGGGGTCGAGAGGGGTCTGCGTTAACACTCAGGCACAATGGTCCCTGCTGCTCAGCCATACGGACGCAAGGCGGCAGAAGCAAGTGTAGAGTTTAGGGGGGCATTCCTGGGCTGCAAGCTGCGTTTCTTTATGTCAACATGCTGAACCAGTCGCAGCGGAAGCTGTATGATGTTTTGGCTTCGCAGAATGCTGTGGACACTATTCTGGCAGATGTTTCTCATGTTCAAGCGTCTCTGTATGAGCTTGGTATGTTTGTCTCGGTTTGTAGTTGCTCCTTAATTACGAGTGGTTGCTAGCTGTCGCTGTCAGGGTGTTGTAGACTCTTTCGTGTAATTTGGTGCCGTTGTGCAGCGATGGCGCTGGCACATTCCCGTTTCAGGCAGTTGCGTAGCACGGGTCTAAAGCAGGGTTCAGGGTCTATGTTAGGATGTTCCGCAATCGTTGTAAGTACGCCCACACGCACACACCTCCCTCCACGTTTCATGTTTGCACATGGTGCGTGCCCTCTCTGAACAACAACCGTCCTGTGACAACAGTTGCGATACAAGGGGGGACCGGCTCCTTAAGGCTTAAAGCCCCTAAAAGCCCTATGAGGCCCTATAAAGCCCTATAACATCCAGGGATTCGAAGAGCTAAGGACAGCACCGAGGCCTGAGCCCAGCCCGGGGGTGGGGCAGGTGGTGGCCAACTTTTTGTATTGATTCAGGGTTTAGTTGTGGTCCCTTTGAGGGGCCAATGCCGCTCATCTTTGTTGGGAGACCTTTCAGCTCATATTTCACCCACATCTGAGTATAACGGAGGGCACCCCCGCCCCTGAATTGACAAGATTCGCCTGTCTAGGGCTTACAGGGCTGTTGCGTCACCGCTGGAGACCCCTCAAAGAGACCCCAAAAAACCTGGATCATCTGAAATCCTCTTTGGTTTGGGGTCTATAGGTTCAGGGAAGACAATCCAGTTGAGCTCCCCCGAAGCCTAAGCCAGAAGGCCGTCTACGGGGCCACGCCGAACGGCGCAGCGCCGGCGGACGTGCGACTACCAGCGTTTCTGCACCTGGTGGTGACCCGGGATGGCGAAACCCCGAAGGAGGGTGCCTCTTCAGGTTAAGTGTTCGTGAGGGCCAGCTCCGGTTCTCAGAGCGATGGAGACAACGTGCACAACGATAACTGTTGAAGGTTGTTGCGGAGAATTTGCGGACCGCCCTGTGCGCTTTATCCTCGCTAGCCCGTGCGGCTATGGATCTCTGTCCACTGAAATCCTGTACACCCCAACACCCAGAAGACTAGGCCTTACATCCGACAACTTCCGAAGGAGTCGCCTTCAGCAAGCTCGGCGGCCGCGGATTCGCGCGCTGAGGGCCGCAAGAAGGTCCACGGACTCGACGGACATTGGGGTTCCATTCAGGCTTGTCAGTGTCCGACGCTTCAGGGTCCCCAAAAGCGAAGTTCCAACCCATACCCTCATGAGCAGGTGATGCTCATCACCCGTGGGACACGGGGCGACGTACAGCCGTTTGTGGCCCTGGCGCGGGGCCTTGCCCTTCACTGCAACTGTGAGGCTGGGAGCATGTGCGGGCTACAGATCCGAAATCCTAAATCCACCTTAAGGCCTGAACCACCTGAGCACTTTGCTCGACTCCAGCCTGGCTGAAGTGCTCCCGGGCGACTGTACCCTAATGAGGCAACAGTGCCTTTGTACGGTAGCGATCATAGTCATAGCAATCGTAGTAGCCCTAGTCATATAGCTTTGCCATTGCAACAGTTGCAGTAATAGCAATAGGAATAGTAATCGCCATAGTCATAGTACGAGTCTGAGTCGCCTTCGACGCACTGGTTGCATTGTCAAGACTTGACTGGGCTTGCATGGTGCTGTAAGACTGTAAGGCTACTGGGTGTGTATGCAACTTTGAAATCACTTCTTTCAGTCTTATGGGGACTGCATTCGCAGGCCTGTTGTCTTTTGCTTCAGACATCCCAGAGCTGAGATCGGGTCCAAAACCGTTTCGTCACGAGATCTTCGTGACATACTGATATGTGTAACCATTATTTTTGAGAAAGCACTGATGGTACGGTTGCAGTTTCGTCTCCCTGAGGCCATGGTAGTGACAGAGCTTCGCTGGAAGGACTTTGTCAAGAAGAACGGCTTAGGCGCCGACGAGGGTCTCGCGGCCGAAGATTCAGTGTATCCTAAACTCGACACCTGAACCCGCGCTTCCAGAGTGTCAGCTAGGCGGGTGGCAAAGAGAACCTAAATCCAAATCCCTATCCCTAAGCTCTGGGGCCCTTCGCAGGTGCTTACCCTGGATCCTTGGCCTCTGAACCCGTCAGCCGCCCAAGCGCTCCTTCCCCTACGCCCCGAATCTCCGAGTTTCAAAGCGTAAACCCCCAAAACCCCGTAGGTGGCAACAAAATAGCCCTTTTGAGGTGGTGACCTTCCAAGGCGCATCCGCTTCAGACCATCTGGAGGCGGGGCTAAGGGATGTTTATGGAATTATGTCGTGTTTGAGTTTGGGACGGCGACGGGACGATGACTAGAGTACTCAAAAAACGCGGGAGGGAGGTGGACAACTGTTGCAAGATCCATCGCAGGGTGAACTGGCCCGCCTTCAATCAGCCTGGTAAGCGTTTATGTCGTGTGAAAGCGTCTCTGTCTCTCTCTCTCTCTCTCTCCCGCTTTCGCTCTTTCTTCCTTACGCATGTTGATTGTTGCTGCCTTGTTGCGTTGACTGCTAAGCCTACACCATGTGGAGTCGAGTGTCCTTCAGCTGGGCTGCTTTGTTGGCAGCTAAACGTAAAACCTGAACACCTCGAAGCATCCGGAAGCCTTACAAATCCTAAAGCCAGCGCTCCTTAGGGCCGGCAAAAGGAAAAGATGCCCAGCAACTAATGAGCCGTGCTGCCAGGAGACACGACATTGAAGGTGCAGTCCAGGGGCGCGCGCTTTGCCATTGGCCTGCTTTGGGGACGTTAGGGATTGGTAATTGATGGGTCCATCAAGCCTTGACCAGAATTTTTACATAACCCTGGCGATCCAACTGCCCAAGTTGCGGGACTTCAGGGCTGCATCCTGTGTTCTCGGCCCCTCAAGCCTCAACATGATTGCTCCACTCCACCTCCCCTACACCGCTCTTATAAAGCATCATAACCCCTCAGCCCAAAACCCTAAACCCTAAGCGGGGAAAAGCCCTCAAGCAACTTAGAGACACGGAAGCCCAGCCCGGGATCGCTTCCAGCTGAGGCGATGACCTTCGGCCAGCACAGCGACACCTTGCAGGTCTGTCGCCCAGCGAGCCCTAAAGCCCTGGGAGGGGATGCCTATGAAAAAAGGAAGGATCCAGGGTTTTCGGGGTGTGCAAAAGCCACACTACACTCAGAACCCTTTGCGTTGGGCCTGAAGGCCTTTGAAGGGTTTGCAGATGTTTGCAGGGTTTTGTGCTGCAGGGAGTCAGGCCTGCGCCTCCCTTGCTCCCCTCCTTCCCCCCGGTTCCCCCCCCCCCCCCCCCCCCCCCCCTTAAGCTCCCGTGGCCGTAGTTTGCTTGAATTGCAGGGTCGAATCTTGCCCGCGAGTCCGGGGGGGGGGGGATTACCAAAACCGGTTCCTGGAAGGCGTTGATGCTCTCACGCAGCGAGGTGGAGTTCTTTTCCAGCGAAGGTCGGGATTGTGGATGTCAGGCTGTCTAGTAGGGAGCTATAAGGGCCTTCGGGCTGCGCAGACATGGGGAAAAAGGTTGAATGTTTCAGGGTGTTAGGGCCCGGAGTCGAGGTCGTGGTTTCAAAGCCTTTATAAGACTTGCGGGGTCAGGGTGGTTCGGGAATTTGGATGTCTGCGTGGACTGTAGGTGCTCAGAGGTGGACCCTCAGCCGTAAACCGAAAACCCTAGTCCCTCTGTGTTGATTCTTGTGTATTGCTCTGACGCGGAGGCTGCTGCTACTATTGGGCGAAGAAGGACCTTTGCTGTAGCGGCAGGTCCCAATCTGGCCTTGACTGCCTCACTGATCTTCGTCGCAGACTTGTCTTGACAGAATGATCGTGTCCGGGCCGTGGCCCCCGATTAGGCACCGCAAAGCCCCAAGCATGAGGAAGAGGTTGAGTATGGTTGAAGCTACTGGCCTCTGAGTTGGGATTCCTGCGCAGAGTTCATAACGAACTCCACGCTGTCGGTGTCGTGATGTGTCATGTACTTGAGAAGGAGCGGCCCGACTTCATCGTCTTCGGCTTCACACTCACCCACATCGCCATGATCATTTCGGAGTCTCTGGGAGCCTTGGGGGGAGAGTTTGGACTCTAAGGTTTTTTAGAAGCTATTTCAGTTACACTTGTCCTCCCTCTTAATTCCATGGACGCAGTATCGACGCATCAGAGGCATCAGGTGCTGTGCGACTGTGTCACAGGTCGGGCCAACAAGGGAGGGAGCGAGAGAGGCTGAAGAGTGTAGACCCTGAGAAAAGCAACGAGCACGTGGGAGGGGTGTTCGGATTCAGCGCGCCGAGAAATCCCCATCGTCGGCTTCACACTGCAGCCGACGCGGGAGATCGAGCGCCGGGAGTGGAACGTCCGCCGCTCGGCGGAGATGGCACCCAGACCCTTCAGCCCATACCAAAAAAATCTTTCACTTGCCACAGGGATGAGGTTTCTTGGCCCGGAAAAGCCGGCATCGTTGAAGCGCAACAGCGTAGCTTGACGGATTTCAGTCTGTCGGTCGTGGGGCACCCATGAACAGACCAGCCCAGACATGCAGGAGGCCAGAACGCCAAAGAAGTGAGCCCCCTACACTTGCTGGTTCCCATTAGGGAAGGGTATCAGGTAAATACCCCTGTGCGGGATTCATATTATACGCATATAGCACATTCGAGGACCCAATTCCGTACCAAGAAAACCCTAAACCCTAAACTCCTAAACCCTAAACCCTAAACCCTAAACCCTAAACCCTAAACCCTAAACCCTAAACCCTAAACCCTAAACCCTAAACCCTAAACCCTAAACCCTAAACCCTAAACCCTAAACCCTAAACCCTAAACCCTAAACTCTAAACCCTAGCAAGCTTCAGGCATGCTTGGGGATGCCCTGGAACCCCTGGCGGCCGCTGTCAACGGTGTGGAGCTGCCCAGCTGAAGCGGAAGCTTACGGGTTCTTCGTAGGGAGGGAAGTCGGGGCGCGGCTGTTTTATCCCTCAGCAAAGAACTACTTGATTTAGGGTTTTGGGTTTAGGGCTATTGTTTGCTGAAGAACCCCTCGAAGAAAAACTAGGGCAATATATAGGGATTATCTTTTGTTTTTTTTTTTGTGGGGGGGGGGGGGGCTTCAGAAAATATAGTCAAAGGGGGATATAGAAGGTGCCCACTTCGAACCAGCAAGAGAAGGATCCGGGGGTCGGCGGGCTGATGTTATGAGTCCTGGGATGCCCAAGAGAACCCTTCTCCCAGTTTTATGTTTTTTGTCTCTCCGGGGTATGATGCCTGATAAACCCCCCTTTGCAAACTGCGGGCACTTCATTCGTAGGTCGCTGGGCAGTCGAGCTTTTAGCGGCCCCCAACCCCAGATCTACAGCAATCTTACATCGCCATCACTCTCCGATACTGTTCGCTTGCTGCTCTTGCTTGGCCGATTCCGCCACATCGGGCCGCAGAACATGGAAAAGCCCGTCTTGGTAAGGGGCATAGCTGTACGAATCCATTCAACATCTTGAAGGTCTGCAGGTTCGGGTTTTCTACTTGCGGTATTCTCTTTTCATGTCTTTTCATGATTCAGGGTGATGATACTCAGGGCTTTGGGACAGGGGACGCCAAGACTTCGTGGCAGCCACTAGCCATGAAGCTGGGTGCTTTGAAACGAGCGTCTGGCTACCTGCTGGCAATGCTGCATGCGGCTTCCACCACGCAGGGCAGCGCAGACGGAACCACAACGGGCATGTGGGAGGGGGCGGCGGGGTGCGGGTGGAGGGTGCGGGGACTTCTCGTCTCAACGGTATTTACGCCTTGAACATACCTCACACGTTACACACCGGGGTGGATCGCAACCAAAGCTACTACGCGCTCCAGGCCACAGCATTTAGCAGCACAGGAGCAGGCCTCATCGACCTGTACTACAATCAGGACACTGGTCTTGGACGATTTCTGCAGATGGTCACGAGAATTACTTCTCTGACTGTCTTTTTTGCACCTGGTCTGTATGGGGCCGGGGAAGACCCTGCCCTTTCCGTATCTCCATGGTACCTGTCCTCCCGTGATAGCACGACGACCACGACAATCATCGCCGTGTCTTCGGGGACGTCCAAGACTTCACTTGAGTGCCTGGCGCCCCTCGTCTCGCTTCTCCGGGAGCTTGTTGCCGACAGCTCCACTGACAGCTCTGAAAGCTCCACTGAAAGCTCTCCACTGATCCAGCGCCTCTCGTGAACTTAACGAGCCTGAAGGGCCCGAAAGCTTGTCGAGCTCTGCATCCAAAACCTGGCCATGTGATCGTAAAGCCTCGACATCCTTAACCCCCTTAACCCTCCAGAACCGCCCCCAAAAAAACAGTTGTCCATCCGGGCAGAGTCAATGGTGGTAGGGGGTCGCCGTAGCGGTGGGCGTTGGTGCCTCTGGCGGCTCGTGAGGGCTTGCAACTTGAGGCTTGAGGGTCAGTGCGATTTAGCTTCGGCTGAAGGCTTTGAACCCTCAAGTCGCACTCTTCTACGCCACCGTCGGGTCTTCCTTTCTGACCACAACACCAAACGATGTCAAAACCTGAAGCCCCGAACCCCGGATCCTAACGCAAAGTGGCCAAGACCCCTAAAGGCCCTAAGGCCCTAAAGCCCTAAAGCCCTAAAGCCCTAAAGCCCTAAAGCCCTAAAACCCTAAAAAGGTTCCAAGCCTTCCTCCAGCAAGCCATGGAGCGGATTCCCTCGCCCAACACGCTGTGCCCCGTTGGCAGAACATTTCTGCGCGTTAGAGGAACGAACTTTGGGAACTTCGGGAACACTTTTCGAGGATTTTTCGTGCGTTGGACGTTTACTTGAGGCTCTGCCTCCATCGCCTAGCGGCAGGACATTGAGCCTCAAGCCCGAGCGCAAGGGGGCAACCTCGCCCAGGAACTCCCTCCGCATTTCGCGCGGGCTCCTGCCGTGCCCAGCCCCGTGGCGCAGTTCGGAGTGCACATGGTGCATTTGGAAACCCCCGCTTCGGAACTCGAAGCCTCATGGGTAACGGGAACTCTTGCGGCCTGAACCTGAACTCCCCAAGCTACCCATCCACAAAGACCGTGTGCAAGCGCACTGCTCAGCGGGGGGGGGGGAGGGGGCAACGCCAGAAACATCCTCAAACAACCCTTGAAACCCCAGATGCCCACTCCTAAGTTGAACTTTCAGGCTGACATTGACACGGAGGACCGGCAAACTGCAGAGCTTCTGCGCCAGAATATCTGCAAGGTCATGGGCGCAAAAGACATGCCTTCCAGTGACAGTGGCCGAGACAGCCATGTGCCCTGTAGGTGGTGCCCATCAGCAGTGAGCTCCTGCCGGACCAGGCGTTTGCGGCCGCCCCTTCCGTTTTTGGGCACTTTGCCCCCTCACCCCTCACCCTCCCTGGCACCGCCACGCAGCAGGCGGTCGATGGAATGAAGCTCACGGACTTCATCTTCTTGTGCCTGGGGCGATGCGGAAGAACAAACATTTGTGCATTGTTGCTTCGTGGAGTTTTGGGCTGACCCTGAACCATTTCTGTGTCTCAGCAGAGGCACGAGAATCCCACGCAAGGCGCGAAGGAACTCCTGCGTGGCACGGCCGAGATGGAGGGTGAGGGTGGGGGTGGGAGGCCTGCCGGGCCCCTTGAGGCTACCCAACCTCCGAAAATGATAGCAGGTCCATCGGTTTCAGGGCTTGGGGTAACCAACTCAAGGGTGCGTGGTTCCCGGACCCTTAATTGAAGTTTAGTAGAATTCAGAAGTATGCCCCAAGCTGCCTCGAGGCGAAGTTGAGCAGTTCATTGAGCGGCTCGGGTGGCATTGGAGGGGTCGTTTGAATTTAACTTCCGATGCCTTTCAGGGGTGTGCTCGAGACATTGTTCTGTGGCTTTGGGGGCTTGCGGCTGAAGTTCAGTGCATTGGATGTGGAGCCAAGGAAAAACAAGAAAGCGGGAAAAGCTGTTGTTGCCATGACCTTCTCTTCCATGCCAGTTGGGAGACTTTGGCATGGCAGAGAGCACGAGATGCGAGCGAGCGAGCGAGAGAGAGAGAGAGAGAGAGAGGGGGGGACTCCTAAGTGCAGAGGAGAAGAAGAAGAAGAAGAAGAAGAAGAAGAAGAAGAAGAAGAAGAAGAAGAAGAAGAAGAAGAAGAAGAAGAAGAAGAAGAAGAAGAAAAAGAAGAAGAAGAAGAAGAAGAAGAAGAAGAAGAAGAAGAAGAAGAAGAAGAAGAAGAAGAAGAAGAAGAAGAAGAAGAAGAAGAAGAAGAAGAAGAAGAAGAAGAAGAAGAAGAAGAGAGAGATGGGTGGGCCGACAAGTAAGACACGCAGGGAACTGGTGCGGTGAAAGGCCGAGCAGAGGTCGAAAATAGACAGGCCCTGCTCAGGTGGCGCTGCTATGGCGAAAAGGGCCATTAGGCGAGCGGAAGTTCTGAGGTGACGCGGGATCGGGGCGCGCAGTCTGCGCGGAGGGTTCCCCTCCAAGCCCCAAAGAGAAAGAAAGAGAACCACTCCGAAAGGAGGAAATTGGACGAGCGTGACAACCCTGATGGAGGAGGACCACAACGCAAAAACAAGCAACAACGACCAAGAAGAAGTACGACACGAAGATGAAACAACAGGTACCACGCAACAACTTGGGGAGGCTACTCAAGTGGACGAAGCCGATAGCAGCATGGAGGACCAGCACTACAACGACATGGAGTCGGAGGCCGCCGAGACCAACACGAACACGACCGGGGACACCATGGAAAGAGGGAGCGGGCCATCAAAAACACAGCCGCCGACCAAAAGAAGACGGACCAGTCAACAGCAGAACAGGGAAGCCGAAAACTACTCCGACCTCGTCGACCAGACCGACCTCCCCCACACCATGATCGATGACGTCCACAACAACGAGAAGACCAACTACCAGCCTGGGCAGCAGGACAGTGGGGCGCAGTGGTGTCGAGGGCCTTGCTTTCACCGTGAGACAGACCGGCGGGCCAGCGTGGCCGGGGCCTTCCCTCACGGGGGGCCTCTTCGGAGAGAGAGGAGAGAGAGAGAGAGAGAGAGAGAGAGAGAGAGAGATGAAGAATTTAGCGTTCAGGGGTTGGTTTAGGGTTTTCCTTTGTGGTGAACGTTGTTCACAGCTCTTTGGCGTGTTTGGGCAGACCCCCGGCCCAATGTGAAAACGGAAGCCCCTAAACAAGTGCCCGTGTAATCATGTCCTGGGAACACCCAGGAAGCGGAAAATGCTTCAGATCGCAGCTGCCTGGCATGATTCACTGAAGGGTTGTAGAAAAAAGGGATTCCCAGGTCGGGCTGCAGGATTGTGGGCTAGCATTGGCGAACTGCACCCGCTGGAGTGAGGATTGTCTAGAAGTCTAGGGTTTAGGGATGCTGGCGACATTCTTTCTTCAGGCTGGTGCCCCTTGGTGATTCGGTTTTGGGCTTAGTGAAGTGAGGCCGTGAGCTTTTGCGGTGGCCCATTTCTATCTTTGCATTGTCGTGTGGCTTGCTGTGGAGGTGCGTGGTGCAGCCTCCCTATGGCTGTGCACTGTACCACCGTACACCTCCACCTCCCCCCCGCAATCTCAACTCCACGAGCTGTCGCCTGAACCCTACATCCAAAGCCCTAAACCATGAGATCCATGGTGCCTTCTCGGGCACCGTAAGCAAGGGCCCGTACAATGCCAGGCAAGGCAGCCGATGTTCTGGCAACATCCGGCATGCCAGATCTGCGTCGCGTCAGATGTCTAATTTCGGGGTCCGAATTATTACTCGAAGTATTCCCTTATGGCCCCTTTGAAAGTATACTACAATGACCCCCCAGAACCTTGTTCTTATTATTCAGGCCCCGATAGTAGGTATCCCCCAAAAGGGGCCGCAATTGAGACCTGCCAGAGGCGGAGCTGGTGCGGCAAGAGGTCGCCTGCATCGTCCTCGCAGCTGGGCAGCCGGAGGCCGCAAAAGCATGCTGCGGGATGTTCTATCAGAACACTTTCAGAATGCAGCAGTATAGCAATAGAATTGTTAGAATGCGCACGTAAACGTACAAAAGTACAGCAGTTCATATGAACTTGTATAATCGTACAACCATAAAATAGAATTGCATGATATGGAGATACGAATAAATGAGTAGTACTCTAATATACGTGTTTTGTAACACTTTTAAGAACATGATACTATAATAATCATAATATGTTAGTCACACAATGATATAAGGATATAGCAGCATCACATGATCATAATACAATATGATAATCGTGTAAAAATCTAATCATAGAAAATGACTGTAATTTAATCATACAGTAGTATAGTCAGATCAAAATATATGAGAACATAGCATATTAATATACATAAAAACACACAGAAACACAATAACACAGCAATATGATCATAAAAAATCATACGGGAATATAATCATACAATCGAAGAGCAATGCAATCATAGAATCATATACAAATGACATTATGTAATAATGTGATGATTATAGTCGAAACTATAAAACTGTTGTACTACAATACTCTCGCAATGCGATAATACTAGAATGCTATCGTAATGGAATAGTACAGTGGTATGCTGATATAGTAAAGTCAAATAATCTAAGAAAGCAATCGGATAATCTAATAATCTAGGAATCGAGTAGTCCGAGAAGAAGAAGAAGACAGATACATAGATAGATAGATAGATAGATAGATAGAGAGAGAGAGAGAGAGAGAGAGAGAGACATACTGCACCCGAACCCCTACCCAACTGGCAGCCGAACTGACATAGTGAACAGTGGGGGATGTTGTGGCATAACGTCTTTGGTTTTTACATACCTGACCGGTCTCGCACCACGTCAGAACCCCGACCCAACTCGGCCAACGAGCCGACACCTTGAGGGCCCCTCCATGAAGACCATGGAGGAGGCATCACAGTCACAGACAACACCGTGGATCGTGCACGCCCTTCGGGGCAGCTCCCTTTCGGGGGGCTTAGCGTGTGGGAAAGAGAGGGAGGGAGAGAGAGAGAGAGAGAGAGAGAGACAGACAGACAGACAGACAGACAGACAGACAGACAGACAGACAGACGGAGAGAGAGAGAGAGAGAGAGAATCAAGGCCCCATGAAAGCATGAGAGAAAGACAGAGAGAAAGCATTAAGAGAAGGAACCACCTCCGGAAGGAGAAGCTGTCCAACAATGAGACGGAACAAGTCGAGTTTGGAACTCAGTCTATGTGAGAAACTATGTGAGAAAGCAATTCTGTGTAGGCTTGCAGGGTCGTCATGCTTTCACGGAAGCAGGTGCCCCTGGCTGAATCTCCACGCCTGAGAGAATCGTGTTCGAGCCTAGGCCCTACGTACGCTCGAAACATGTCTCGGGCCGGCCCCCATGACATCCTTGAGGCATTGTTAAGCCGTTTGGTAAATCCTGCTGTCCTTACGTTTCATGGTTGGAGGTTTCGACCCGAGGCTTCAAAATACGATATGTGGCATAGGGAGTGACCGCTTGAGGATCGTCTATCCTTAGCCCCGGGGGGAAGCAGAAAGAACCCTTACCCCTGCAACTGGAAGCTAGATTTTGAGTACGCGTGGAACTTGCGGAGGCTGCCAAGGGGGAGCCATGGGTCTTTCGGCTATTGCAGATCATCCCCCTCGCCCTCGCTCCCCATTTTCTCTGAGGCAGGCGGAGAAAGACGGCATGCTCCTGGGAGCTGAAGAGGGCTCATACCCCCAAGCCGCTTCAAGGGGGGTTTAAGGTAGAGGATCCCTTGTTTTGGTCAGGGTTCAAGTAGGGCCCGGGCATGTCAAAATCCCAGTGGTTCCAAAAAGAAGGATCAGGTGTTGTGATGGCCAACATTCGTTGATCCAACCTTTCATCGTAGTGCACACGATTGGAAGGTCCACGGCAAATGTTCCACCTTGTTTCCATGTCACGAACCGAAGCCGCCAGCACATGCTTCCACAGCCTACTTGATGGGGACTGTTGGAATTTACGTGTGTCCTCTGCAGCCGAAGTACTCCGGCCATAGGCTGTATGCTCTAGGCCCTAAGCCCCTAGACGCTGCGCCCTAAAGCTCAAGCCCACAAACGGCAAGCCCCCCCAACGGAGATGTGGAAGGGTGCCATGAGCAAAAGGGCTCTGAGGATGTCAGGCCTTGAGAGGATTTAGGGCTGCTCTTGAGGTTGATGGTCCTCGATGGCCCGGTGCCCTTCAGCGACCTCTTCCCAAAGGCCGGTAGACCCGAAACCAGGATTTCTCGATTGTCATGGGAATCTAGTAGAGGTAGAAACATTTTCAAGCCCGGACCATCGACGGTCTTATGGTCAGGCTTGACGGCACTTGGAGAGCCGAAAGATGTAGAGTGGACAGCGGCGCACAACACCTCAGGGTCCTTAGCAACTGCTCCCTTTACTAGGAAGTAGCATGTTGGCCAGATGCGCCGAAGTTCGCGAGGCGTCCTGCCCCCCTCTCTCGCCGCGCTTCACCAGGTGGATGCCGCAATCCTCCACGGTGGCCTCGGGGCGGCTTGCCGGTGGTTCGTAAGGCTATGGAGCTTACAGCCAGGAAGCCTTGCAGGGCTTCGGGGCTTTTAGGGTGAATCTCTTGAGCTCTTGAACCAGAACAATTCTTGGCTGGGGCTCAACTCTGTGGGCAGAGGGTACATTTCCGTGTCAGAGTGGCTGGGGCAGAAAATGTTTCAGGTAAGGCCATTCTGTCTGAACGTCTTTACACTACTTATGTAAAGCATAGCAGAGCCCCAAGGCCGCTCCAATTTTTGCGAGCCCTGGCCCAACTTGAGGTCACCTCCGAGGCGCTCAAGGCGCCTGGCTTCTCTGGCCCGTCCCCCCACCCTCACCTCTCAAAAAGGAATCCTGTGAAAGGCACTTGCAAGGGGACCCCAGCTTAGAACCGATGACTGGGATTGGGATGTTGCGCATTCTGAGATTCAAATCCACCCCTTAATGTAAGGAGTGCCGCCTTCAGCAGCCACAGCTCAGCGTTTAGACAGTTTGCTTCGTGTGAGCTGAGTCGAAGCATCAGAAGCCCCCCGGCACCCCGAAGAGGCTGGCATCCCGGTCATCACTAGCGGCATCCTCCTGATGGACCAGCGACCCTTGGACACCTGTAGCCCTGTGCAGTGTATCTATATACATATATACATACATACATATACAGTGTAAACTTATTGTATAGTCTATAGAGACTCTATGTCTGTCTGTCTGTCTGTCTGTCTGTCTGTCTGTCTGTCTGCATGTATGCGTGTATGTATGTATGTATGTATGTATGTATGTATGTATGTATGTATGTATGTACGTATGTATGTATGTATGTATGCATGTATGTATGTATGCATGTATGTATGTATGCATGCATGCATGTATGTATGTATGCGTGTATGTGTGTGTGTGTGTGTGTGTGTATGTGTGTGTGTAGTGTGCATGTTGAACCCCAAACTTTTTTGATATACTCAAACCGCTAAACCGCTTGGCATTCCGAGGCTTCTGGGCGGCGCGGCTCAATGAAAAGAAGTGCGGATCCAAAGCGATCCCCGTGGATGCGCTGAAGGGGGACATAGAAAGCTCAGGATAGCTTGTCCGGGTGAGGGAGTGTCGGGGAGTCAGCGTGCTGTTGCACATCGTTCAGTTTATGTCTTGTTGGATATTTGACCGCCATGTCAGGCCACGTGCGAAGTACTGACCTCACGCCATCGCAAGAGCTCTCACTTCAAGGAAGAAAAGCTTGTGGAAGTGGCTCTTTAAGCCCTCCGGCCCGGCCCTTTTGGCCTGGTCCTGGAGTGCCCACCAGCCCCAAAACCTTTGAGTGAGAGTTTTGAGTATCTTTGGGGTGCCCACCCCCAAAGGAGATCGCACGGAGAGGGGCCGCGTGTCGCTGGAGTGCACAGAGTCCCGCAGAGCATCCTATGAGTCCCCGGAGAATCCCCCGGAGAATCCCCCGGAGAATCCCGCAGAGGGTCCACAGAGATTTCCGTGGAAGCATAGTTATTGCCGTTATTGCCTGTCCGGAGGCACCCACATCGGTCGGGTGAAAATGATCGCAGTGTATGATTTTGCTCTTTCATCGCAGGTGGGGAGGGTATGTTCCAACGGTATATTTCAAAGCTATTGAATGATGCCATGCATGCCCACCAATCAAACCCGTAGAGCTCTTAATCCGACGGACGGCTGCACTGAAGTATCTGCACGCCGCATTGGAGGACTGCTGGCTTGCTTGCTGCCGGCCGACAAGGCTCGGGGCTTGGGAAGGCTCTTAACTCCCAGGCCATCCTTCCTGCGACGCAGTCTGGAACTCTTGGTCCACTACTGCCAGACCTTTCATGAGCAGGCAGTCATTCATCGGCACTCGCGCTTAGGGAATTCGGGACCGCGAAACTCTCCGTCCTCCCATGTGAAGCTTCTTGAACATCGTTGAACCCTTAAGGCTCAAGGGCTTCTGCCACAACGCTGACAAAAGATCATAGGTCGTGGGCTCGCCCGAGGTGTGAGTTCGCGATGCACCAGAAAGCCCAAGGAGATTTTCTCACGGACGACGAGTTGCTTCAAGAGTTTGATCTTGCCTCTGCTGATGCAGAGAAAGGGGAGAGTGCACCTCCAGCAAAGCCGACGGATTGGTTGGGCTCCGGGCTTTACATCCTCCTGGCCGCCGGTGCAGCTGCTCTTTTCCTTGCTGCTTGTGTCGCTGCTGGCGGCATTGGCCGTTCCAGCGCGTGGCGCGGCACAGAACCCACAGAGCTGTGGCCCGAGCCAGTTTGGTCGAAACCCTGTGCCGGGGAGCTCCAGGTGAACGGTCTGGGAACCGCTTACTTGATCAATGCAAAGTACAATCTTCCAGGTGACCCGGCCGGGAATGTTTGGATGGAGGGCTCGAATGTGGTTCTCACGGACAAGGGCCGCACCTACTGGGGCAATGCATGTGATCCGAAAGGCTCTCACGTGTTTCAGCAGTCTGACTACATGAACCTGTATCTCCTGAACAAGCGCTTGGAGTATACGACGGACCTTCGTGGGGCCGACTGTGGCTGCAACGCGGCCCTCTACTTGGT